GGAACCTCAGACTTGTACAGCGTACAATGTATGTGGTCGGCGCTGGTCATGGCTGACCTCATCTGCAATTTCCTGCGCGAGGGCAGCCAGGCGTCACGTGCGTCGACTTCGTCAGGTATCGAGGCATGTTTCGCTGATCCAGATCGTGTGCGCACCAACGTTCTGCATACCCAGTAGCAACGAATCATCGCTGACGTGGTCGTCACCAACTCCCCGAACCAGATCCAGCACACGGGTGTCATGATGAGCTGCTGCAGTCACCATGGCTTGAGCACTTGTACATTGAACGTAAATGCAACAGAACAGAACAAAATAGCGCACACAGCTATCACCGAATGGACACTGGTCTGCTCTTACAGGATCTGGCCACGGTTGACTGGAGTACGGTCCCGAAACCTTTTCACCAGATGAACAGTGAGATGCGTTCCAGACCATCGTGCAACCCCTGCTTGGCAACCTTGCCCCAAGCTTGACAAGAAAAGGGCAAGTCCCTGTTTGTCACCCCCCCCCCTTGACAAGCTTGTGATAAGTCCAGATTCCCGACCCAGCCACTCTTCCTGTCTCGGACAAAATCAAAGGGAACGTTCGACGCTTGAAGATACTGAAACAGGTATCAGATGAAGCGAACTAAAGCCAGTTAATAGCTATTGGTACGGTTTTAGTGGAAATGACCACTCTAGGCAACGATGCTTATTTATTTAGTAAATGTGCTACTCAATACGTCATTGTTGACTGCGACATGGAACGTTCGTATGACGTTGAGATGCTGCCAAACTAGCCGTGGGAAATTGCCACCTTAGCACGCACTTGGGATACTTCAAACTCGCCGTGAGATGGCAGTCGCAACGTTGGAAGTGTTCACTGGGGCAAATATTGCTATGTCTTCGTGTTTGGCTCTTTCTCGTGGTGTTACAGCATATTTATCCGTGAGTTTAAAATATTTCATTGCAGTCATATGCTCGGTTATTGCACTATTCTTAACTTGTTTGATTACAAGTCTTATTTCCGTAATAAATAGATATTCTTCGGTAATGTAGTGCGCAAAGTAATGACAACTAGCCAACAATTAATAGCGTCAGAAAATGGTGTTGCACTTTAAAACTACCATTGCGATGGCCGGGAATCGAACCCGGGTCAACTGCTTGGAAGGCAGCTATGCTCACCACTATACCACCATCGCGTGCAACGCTCGCACAGGTTTCAAATACGTGCCGTGAGCACTTGACTTTCTTAATAATGAGCCGTCACGTGACTGCTAGAGCCAGCCACGTGCTCATTATCTCCTGGATAGAAACGCCCACCTCATAAACACCACACCTGAAGCACCAGAGCATGGGCCGGCAATGCCATCGGCGACGACAAAGGCTGATGCGATGACTTTGCTGATGATTCCATCGCCCTCCGGCCGCGCTGTGTCCCGCCTCGGAGACTGCCGGGAGCGTCCGTCACGCGGCGGCCAGCAGAGCCCCGTCTAGCCGTCTGCTACCTGCCGACCTCGGGGCGCGCCGACCGTGACGGGGTGGGCCGGAGCGGTGCCGCGGCGAGGACCGCCGCACTCGGGCAGCCATCCGCCGCCGGCCGGACCTGCCGGGGCCACCGGCGGCCGGCCGGCGCCCAGCTGGCCACCGCCACAGACGGCCACGCAGCTGTGGAAGGGGTGACGGCCCGTGACGAGGCTGGAGACGTGTGCCCCGTGCATCTGCCCTTGGATGGAGTGTCTCTCAATACTGATAACTAATACTGATGATAACACCCAAACTAATGACTGTTCTTTCTTGCTTTCTAACAATCATTTCTTTCCGTGACCAAGTTCTTCAGGATATTATGATTTGTGGAGTGCGGTATGTCCATGAATCCAAAATGGCGTGCCAAGCTGGATTTGTCACCGCTATCACCATGGCCGTAACGGGCGGCTTAAGTCGAGTAACGGCATCGAGTCTCAACCAACCTGTTTGGACGGTGACATCATGGCAACTACAACAATGAAATTCACTTATGTCTGTTGAAATGACAGCTGTGCAATACTCGTCCAATTTTATTATGCCCGGTTTTGAGCACCACATTTATCACGGATATGACAGGGTTTGAATGTGAATATTATTAAGATATGCTACGACAAATATCACAATAATTTCCCCTTCACTCGCTGCACCAGGTCGATACTTTTACGCTTGCCCCGACGAGGTGCACACATAGCCGGCGAGGTCAGCCCTGAACTCGTTATACATGAGCGGTGAGTACAACGGCAGAACCACGCCGCCAGGTTTCCCTTCGTCAAATCCTTGCGCAGAGAGCGGAGTATTCGTCATACATAACGTAATCGGGGTGCAAAGAAATGTAGCAGTGGCATGTCTGACAGAAGGGGAACGTGCATGGAAGGGGATGTACCAAGCCTCGAATGTGCTGATGCAGCCAGTCATGACAGAGTATAAAGCAACGTGTAGAAAGACAGAAAAGCTATAATGCATGGTGGAACCACACGGAAAAATAACCGAATAGCAGTGGTATATATCGATGTACAAAGCCACCTCTCAATGACAATGCATTTTAGCTTCGTCTTCGGCTTCGGTTTCGGCTTTGGCTTCGGCTTCGGATTCGGCTTCGGCTTTGTGAAGCCGCAGTCTCCTCCAATGGCTTGGAGCCCGGCTTCGGCCTTGAGCCATTTTTTTCCGCCCGGCTTCGCCTTCGGTTTCGCGTAATTTGAGACGGTTGGATTCGGATTTGGCTTCGGCTTTGCAGTGTTTTTAACACGTGCCCGGGTGGCCGGCTGGATACCCTGTGCTCGGGTGGGTGATCAATTTGACCCCCCTGAGATCTCGGGAACTAAGAAAGCTAGAGACCAAATTTGCAGGATGCGTAAGCCTGTGCTTGGACTCACTTAGGTTAAGGTTTGAGGTTTCTATATCATGACCTGCTGGTCAAATAAGGTCAAACGAGATCAAATTCCAGGCTGGTCTTCAAAGTGGCCCCAGAATCCAGATTACTGTTTCTCAGCAAAAACACACATGCTCATTTAGGGTTAGTAAACTTGTTTGACCTTTTGAAAGTAATGGTGACCAAAATCATACAAGACTGCTCTGAGTTTTGCATTTGAATAAGCAATAAGGATTACGTTAAGCAGTATGTTCCTATAAAATGTTGACCCGGGTCATTTTAGGTCGATGACCTATTCTGACTTCTAAAAAGTCCATGGAAGATGTAAAATGCAGTTCTTGCTGTCGATAAATTCGAGGTGAGCACCAGAAACTATCCCATACAGCAAACCATAGGGTAATAAGGCAGGTTGGTTTTGAACTTGGTCTGACCTTCATGCCTGACCTTAGGTCAATGTAATTTGTTCATTCAATTGCTGTATTTCTTAAGAAAGCATCTTAGAGATGTATGGCTCCGTCTAACGCTCCGTTATTGCATCAGATTGAACGATTCCCTAGAAATTGCCTTCGCTGAAACCATGGCCTGACTTTGACCTGCCATAGGTCAGCGACCTTACAAGATACATCTAAATTGTTGACATCAAACGATCCGCTATTTAATTTTCTACAACTGCTCAACATTTGGCGCGGCTACACCACGCCATTTGGAAACCATTCTGGAAAAAACCCTCGGGGAGAGGGCCGTTGACCCCCACCCAAGCGCGTGTCAGCGGCTGAATTCAGCTGTTGTTTATGTTAAGAGCTATTATGGGATTATGGCTTCAGCTTCGGTTTCATGCGATTTAGAATGGCCTTATAGTTTCTTTACGGTGCAAGTACTTTTTAGGCTTTGCGTTCCTGACTTTTTGCAATAATGAAGCACTTTTCAACTTTTCTTTTTAACGTTTATCGTTGATCGCTTCGAAGCCGCTGACTCCGGCTTTTGATTCCCATTTACAAAGCTCAAAATCACTTGCTTCGGGTTCTAAAAGTACCAAGTCACAGTATTCGGTTTCAGCTTGGTAGTTTTGAGCCTCAATACTACCAGATTTGGTTTCGGCTTCGGCTTCATGTCACTGTCTTGATTTTGAATTCGGCTTCGAAGCCATAACCTTAGCTCATCCAAACGTCATGTAGCTATATGAAGGGTTTTCCTTTGATCTAGTCGATTTTGCACACTTAAAGCGCACATCATAACTAACTAGCCTAACCTGCTCTGCTTGTTAAACTGCTTGTTAACGTCACGCAAGCTTTGACCTGATTCAGCCTGCAAACCACAAGCGATTATATTTTCCTGATTCATATTGCTGTTAGTAATCAGCAGTAATCATTCTTTGTTGCTAAGTCAATAAACATATCTTACTTTGAACCCGGCTGGCTTAGCATACGACGCGGGCGCATTTAAGATTTACTAATACACTAATAAAATTAATGAATCGGATGTCCAACAGTGAACAATTTGAGCCTAGCTGTCACGCGTAAAAGTTATGTGACATTTTTCCGCCAGAAAGGTTGGATTAAGCTCACTTGACCTTACATTTTTAACCAGTGCATTGTCTCAGTAACATTATCTGATCGGCCTTTTGGCACAGCACTGTCATGTAACAAATCGCCTGGCAATGTTTCATGCCAGACACGTTAAAAACGGCACGAACATACATGTTTAAAGGGCAATGTAAGGATCCCTTGTGACACCTGGCCTCTAGTAGCCCGCGTATGTAAAAACAGAGCAAGAATAGAGCAAAAATTCAGCTCCATGTGATCAGCATTTTCAAGCTAGGCATTACCTTGCCTAGACGCATAGCCTCCGCGACCTTGAAGTTGTTCGAGATATCGCGGCCGGTCACTAGTCGACCGGTCATAGGATAACGGTTTCAGGCGAAAAGCAGCGCGACACTCACTTGGCCACCGGCCAAAAGTCAGGTCCGGCCGGTGACCAGCGGACGGCGTCAGGAGCGAGATGACGTCACAGGGTCGTGATGACGTCACAGTGTGCCGCTGGAAATCACATGGCCAGCCTGACAAGTCCCTCCGCTGGCGTCGCCAGGTCCTGAGCCGGTACGCTCCCAGACAATGCTGTCCGCGGACTCACGTGTGGCGGGTGGCCGCTGCAGGCGGGGCGGTAAGCTCGCTCTGTTTGAAGCCTGACAGCGGCGCGGCTGCCGCGTCAGGGGACGAGAGCCACAAACCGCAGGACGGGGCGAGACACGTGACGCTGCATCTGAGCCGTGAGCGCAAGGCCCAGGAACGCGTCGAGTTCGGCGGCGCTCCGTGACCCAGCGGTCGCTAGATGCCATGTAATCCGACCGGATAATCCTGAGATATTAACACTCATTTAAAGGGAGGGTTCCGTGGTTGTATGGGGAGGGGCTAGCTGCAATGGCCATATTGAAGATTATTCAGTGCGGTTTACAACCCTGTCCTTCTTAAGCCCTACGCTCAAGAAGTTTGAAGCTTCTGAGCTACACGCCCGCGAAAATATATACTGTTTTGGGGAGAATATTTCAAGGTTACCCAGGCAACCATGACGCGACAATAACTTCATTCGAGTCTTGCTATTACGTTGGTCATGCATTGATCAAGGCCAAGAAGAATACATTTGTCGAGCCGTTCATATCTGGCGTTCGTGAGCACGATTTACAAATATAACGGTTGTCAACTGGCTCTCAAGCAATGTTGTGCAAGGTATGATGACGTAATTAAGTAATGACGTATAGAAGAGCACATTTACCACACAAAATGTGTCGTCTTCACTGGTCTTTCTCACCTACAAGCGTACCAATAGTTAGACGTGAGCTTATTCGTCATATATGATGCTTGCTTCACTTTCCTCAAGTTTGGAACATTCCCTTTAATAGAGACAGTTGACTGGAGTATTATGCATTCGTACACTGTCGTGCCAGCTGGAAAACGTTCATGTCCATGCCATGTTCACCGTCACGCAGCAGCCAAATTTGCGTGGTCGGCGCTGCGCCAGCTGAGACAATCCGCATGCAGGTGGAACGACCAGCGCCAGACTTGCCGATATTGTTGAGAGGGTTTGCGAAGTATTTTGTTTGGTGTCCTAATGTACATGGTTATATGAATATACATGGTATCTGAATAGGTACCCACAGGCAGTTCTTTGCACTTCAGGGCTTAGCGTCATTCCTTATCCGGCGCACCGGTCCTTGGCAGGACACAAGTGCGTTGTCTCATTTTAACTTCAACCTGAACTGCTCACAAGTGGTGCAACTTCTCGCATTGGTCGTCAGCACAAGTAGGATATTTTTATGACAGGAGACTTTCGTCACATACTCGGTTTGCCCGCGGGCAGCTCCGTTGCCGCTGCGCAGGCCGACCATCTGCACGCTTCATTCGCAAAAAAAACACCACTTGGAGTTGTTTGAACTATTTGAAGCCGGCCGGCAGCACCTGTGCGCCATTACGGGTAGTTACACCGCTGCTGTGAGAACACCCGAGGAAGTGGCGTACCAGTTGGGCGTTACGGTGAATCACACACCGCCGGAATGATTCATCGCGTCACGTAATGACCGCACCGACGCCGCCCGGGCGAAAGCTGCTCACACCAAATGGTTCACTTTGGTCGCCAATTTGCAGACAGACCATGCGAATGTCCGGGGCAGCGGTCCCACATGCTAGAGCTGCAAGCAGGAATGTGCGTCGTGGAGCTCTCCGCAGCCGGTGGAACAGCGCCTGCGCAAACCGTCACATCGCCGCAGCCGCCGCTCCGCTGCGTCCCACGGCGCCAAGTGTTTAAGATCCGGAGAATTCGCGCCACATCGAGGCATGAGAACGAGGCACGCTGTACAGGAATTAGTGTAGCTAGCGGGGTGGGCGAAAACAGCGCGCAAACAGGTGACGCCCGACGAGTGGGCACCTGGCGGCCGGAGGTGAAAACCGGCCGCAGGCTGTCACAACAACGCGACGCGACACAGGCCGCAAGCGCTGGCGCGGTAAACCAGGTGGTTTTGCGACATCGTCGGCTTGTCCATCGCCTACCCGCCCACTGATATGCATCGGAAAGAACAGCAGAGCCCGGTGTGTCCGAATAGAACCGTCAAGCTCAATCGTGTTGCCTTCTCCATATATTTCTGAAGTACGATCAGATAAATCACTCGACGATAAGAGGTAAAAGTGAAGGCTCAAAACGAAGATAAAAACAGAGATCACATTGCGTGAACAAGTGGAGTGCGTTTGCGAGGTTCCCGCCGCAACACGCGGAATGCCCGGACAGCCTAAATCATAGCATGATGATCGCTCGATGTTAACATCTAATGCTGGCCCAGAACAAAGGTAAACAAAGATACAGACCGCACTGCGTAAACGGATGGAGTGCGCTTTCAGGGTTTCCGCAGAAATACGCGGAATGGCCGGACAGTGCAACTCGTGTGAAAAGAGTTGTGCGTGCGTCTGTGAGGCACTTTCAACTGGGCAGTGGGTGATGTGGCGGGCTTTGGCGCCCTGCCGCGGCTCGGCGGCGCTGCCTCAGCCGGCGCCGTCTCCGAGCGCGGCGATCGCCCCGCCGCGGTGCAGACGCTTGACGCCGCGCGGCAGCGCTCGGCACGAGGTGAGGTCGAGCTCCTCGAGCTGTCGGCAGCCGACTACCAGGCGGCGCACGGCCGCGAACGAGGCGGCCGCTCCGCGTAGTTGTAGTCGACGCAGCGGCGGCGGCGGCGGTACGGCGTCGCCGGCCAGGCTGAACAGCGCCGCGTCCACGGTCGCCTCGGCCCAGCTAAGGTCCAGCTCGAGCAGGCTGTGGCGCCAGCGCGTCAGCAGCGGCGCCAGGCCGGCGGCGGCCGCCGTCGCCGCCGAGCCTGACACGAATAGGTGCTGCATGTGCTGGGCCGGCAGCTGCGCCAGACCGACGCAACTGAGGCGCGCGCAGCCGCGCACGTCCAGCAGGCGCAGCCGGGGAGAGGCGCCCAGCAGCCGCACCAGCTCGGCGTCCTCCAGGCCCCAGCACGCGTCACGCGGCACGGCCACGCTCAGCTCCTCCAGCAGCGGGAAACCGCCCGCTGCCACCTGGCGGAGCACACAGACGGTGCAGTTCAGGTTTAAGACACCAGGTGTCATCAGCATAGCCGGGCCCTCTTTGCTGTTATACCGCTATCAGCCATCGCGGTGCTTTCGCCTACGGCGTAGGGTAGTGCTTTCGCCTACGGCGTAGGGCAGTACTTTCGCCTACGGCGTAGGGTAGTATCGCAACGATCAGTGCTGAAGGTTCAGAGTACGTTCCCTCTCAGGTGCGAATAACGCAGCCTCCCATGCTTAAATTTGGATTCCCATGACCATGAAATCGGGGGATTTGCGCAATGCAACATATGTCATCTGTACATGGACTCAAGATGACGACACTGCAAGAGAAAGCCTGCAGTTTAAGGGTTGGCATGTTCCCGCTGGAATCAGACGCTGATTCAGCGGTGCTCACGCTCTCGCTCGCTCCTCTAGTGAGGCGGGCGCCAGTCTGATCCGGGAATTGGCCCAGTGGACCTCACATGCTCTCAACCGCTCCCCCAGTGGGGCGGGCGCCAGTCTAATCTGGATTGGTCCAGTGGACTTCAAATGTTCTCACCTGCTCCTCTAGTGAGGCAGGCACCAGTCTGATACATGCTCTCACCTGATCCTCTAGTGAGGCGGGCGCCAGTCTGATGTGGGAGTTGATCCAGTAGACGCTATATGCTCCCACCCGCTCCTCTAGTGAGGCGGGTGCCAGTCTGATCAGGGAGTTGATCCAGTGGACCTCGCATGCTCTCACCTGCTCCTCTAGTGAGGCGGGCACCAGTCTGATACATGCTCTCACCTGCTCCTCCAGTGAGGCGGGCGCCAGTCTGATACATGCTCTCACCTGCTCCTCTAGTGAGGCGAGCGCCACTCCGATCTGAGAGTTGGTCCAGTGGACCTCACATGCTCTCACCTGCTCCTCTAGTGAGGCGGGCGCCAGACTAATCTGGGTGTTGGTCCAGCGAAGCACGCGCAGCCGCCGGCAGCCGGCCTGCAGCCGCTCCAGCGGCACAGACACGATGCCGCCGTTTCTCAGCATGATGTTGGAGAGGTCTAGCAGCTCCAGGTTCGGACAGCCATCCTGCGCGCGATTGGTTAGCAGGTCACCTCCAGCTACCGGCCACATGCGAACGGGCTGAATTATCGCCCGTTCGCTTACTATGCGCCACATCGTGGATAACACAGATCTAGGCATCCATGGCAGGTGTTCTCTCTCACTTGCCGCCTCTACAATACACTGTATGAGGTGGTGAGTCACATTAGCACCACATCACGTTCACGGGCACAACCCTTCACCAAACCGCACACTACACTGGTTATATATATACACCACCCCAGCCCGGAACAATTCAGCTCGCGGCAAGACCACCAGGTCTGCACCCAGCTCGGCCCTCGCAGGCACCGGCTCTGGCCGGCCGGAAACCTCTAAAGGCAGCCGACGCCAGCCGCACCACCCACGTACCACCAGCGCGTTGACCACCACCTGCAGGGCGCTCGTCTGGTTGTGCGCGAGCGTGAGCGCCGTCAGCCTGCCGCCCGTCAGGTGCAGCAGCTGCTGCATGCAGGCGCTGGCCACGACGGGACGCACGCTCTGCGCCTGCACGGCCGACAGGTCGAGCGCGCGCAGCCGCGGCGCCACGCGCGCCAGCTGCAGCACCAGCTCCGGCTTGAGGCGCCGGCACGAGGCCAGACTCAGCGCCTGCAGCTCCGGACAGTCGCGGCACACGTCTGACAGGATGTCGGCGCTCAAGACCTTGTCCCAGCCGGCTGCCGGAGGAGAGGGGGGGGGGGGGGGAGGGGGGTCACGGGCTGACCGTCACAGAGGAGGTTATCCGGGACAATAGCAAGGAGATGGCAAGAGTATGCTGCACGGCGAAGACAGCTAGGGGGAGCATCGGGGTGCAACAAACTAAGCATGCAGTAGACCAGGGCACGTCGTGAATAAACCGTGAAGGGTAAGGGCAAAGCACAGAAACCTGTAGGTTACAATCCTACCCCCGTCAAATCAAGTTCTGAGAAGTCTAACCCGCACAACACCATTCGCAGGCAGCGAACCGCCAGCCATCCACAAGTGGGAATGGCCGACACACTTGTACCGGTCGGTCAACCGCGCCGTTGGTGGCGGCGTACAACATGGTGCGGCACTAACCCAGGCTGAGGTCGTGCACGTGGCTGAGCCGATGCCGAAGCAGCCAGCGCAAGCGTGCCTTGGTGCGCCGGTTCTCGCGGATTGCCGCCAGGGTCGACAACGCGCCAGAGGTGCGGTGCCAGCGCCGCGTCGCGCCACAGCCGGCAGACGCGCGCCAGCCGCGGCAGCGCCGGCAGCGCGCCGCCGCCGGCGCGCGCCACCCCGGCGAACACGGCCTGAAGCAGCTCGAGCGGCGCGCGCGCGCCCCACGGCCCTTGCGGTCGGTCCGGTTCCGGCTCCGGTTCCGGCCCTACCATTGGCTTGGGCTCCGGATCCGAGGCGGGGCCGGCCGGTTGCCTCGCGCTGGATTCCGTGCGCTTCTTGGACGCCGATCGCTTCCGCTTCCGCGCCAGCAAGAGCTCAGCAGATGAACGCTTCATGGATCTGTTAGCTCTTGACTTCTTGAAATTTTTGGCGGACTTATGGAGGGATGGAGTGCTATTTTTCTTCTGGGGAATATGGCTGTTTGTGGTCTTTTTAAGTACAGAAGTGCTAGCATGATCACTGTGAGGTGATGCTGATGGTTCATTTCCATGCTGTACAGTACCACTCTCACAATGGGACAAAAAGATCTTACTTTTCCCTGAGGGTGATAACTTGGTCAGCTTGCTTAAATCATCCATGACAGGTCACAGAACTGGTATCCAGCACAAGTGAGGTTTCCTGGAAACTGATTTTCACAGCCTGGCTAAACCTCTCACATTGGAATTCATCAGGAAGTCTGAAAAAAAGATGTTGGGTTATTTAATGGATGCTGGATCACTAAGAATTAGAACTGGACAGCAGGCAAATCATATTACATAGTGATTAAGCCTTCCAGTTCAACATCTGACATGCCAGAAGCCGAGATACTTGGGAATATTGTGATATACCTCACTCCAAGGGCAGGGACAATTTCATTGGCATCTGTGGGGTAAAGGGACAGCCATTTCTCATATGTTTAGTATAAGTTAGGGGGATGTAGCCTATGTGATCATAGCCATGCCAAACAACAGACTCCCATCTACTTGGTAAAATTGACTACTTAGAGATAAACAAATATAACAAGACTATCTACATTGACCCAGGGTGCCATCTGCACATATTACACAATAGTCTGCACACACAAAATCACAGGGCAATTTCATTGACCACATGTTGAGCTTTTGCCTTGAACATTGCATATTTGCCAGAGAATTTCGTAAGTGGATGGTGTGACTCATGATTCTTGAAACAAGCACTGCTAAGTGATAAGTGAAGCCCTGATTCCAGAAATCTATTCAACTGAAACATTAAGAATAAGTATCTAACATTCATTCCTAAGATGCTACCCTCTACAACATGTCCTTGCAGCAAAAAAAAAACATTAATATTAAATGATAGTAGCTGGAAGCAACAAACGTAGAATCACCAGTTTGGTTGATGCATTTCTATGCAAGATGTCGGTGGGTCGGTGGATGCGATGCACCTAGGACGAAAGGAGCATTCGCTGCTCGCAGCGCAGCAGAAATATCACGATACCAACCGACCCCAAGCATTAACACAAGTGATCCGTGATATTTGCATCGAGGTATGTTATGTACATGCAATACTTATCATACCAGAGAAACACAGCTATTGTAACGCCTGCGCCATTTTCCTCTCCCAAGCTACGTACCAAATATTAAAGGGAGGTCAGACTATTGGCACCAAATCCTTCATACGTTGCCTATTTTGTTATTGTTCAGAAACAATGCATGACATGACAAGTAAGTACACACATATGACACGCACGGGACCGTCCGTAATTTATTTTGCATTTGGAGAATGGTTGGGAGGTCTTGATGGCACGAAGATAATCAAAGAGTAGCAAGGAGAATGGGTCTCTGCTGTCGCCAGGCGTAACCAGGGTGGACTGTGGTGTCTCGAGAGATCGGCTTGTTACGCGTCTGGTCTACTCAAGCAAACACTCTAGCGTCCACGCTATACTTTTCTAACTTGACTTCCTCCCTGGCTATAATTAATTTTCGATAAATTCACTAAGTAATGACGGCCATGGCGTCTGCAGGAATGTCCGTCCAACGACGTCAATCATACTGCCATACTTTAATCAACCACATGACGTACGTTGTCAGCATGACGGAAGCCGTATATTACGAAACCGCCCACACTGATCCAGGAGGCTCACGCTAGATATTGAGCGATGTCACGGGAATTAGGCTCAAATTTTCATGAGGATGGACAAAATTTGACACTTACCTCTATCCGAGGACACTTCTGGGTACGACATTGACCGTGATCAAAGACAAGCCATCGTTGCTTACGGTGGCACGTATTTTCGATAGGTTACCTTCAGTAATACAGATAGGCGTGAAAGTTGGCGATAGCATGCAACGATGGCGCTTTGGCCTTGCCAGTCGAACACTGCCGAATCCAGTCGCGGGCAACGGGGTCATCCGTCCTAGTCCACCTGACTGCGACAGTTGGGTCATAGCTCCCTTCAGAGCACCACAAAATCAATCCATTTGCACCATATATTTTCGCCATCTAAGTCTGACTAGCGTATCACCGGCGTTAGATGCCAAAGGTAGCGCTTCACGGGAGCAAACATTGGGTCTGCCCGTTCCGCCCCTGTATCCCGGATCTGCGACGGACCCTTACCAGACGTCTTCTGGAAGCCGGCTGCTGACTGCGGTGACCTGCTGACCCCGGTCTGCGACGAGCTGGGCAGCGTGGGTGGCCCTCCTCGGCCGTCGTCCGTGGCTCGGCCTAGCCCAGCCCACTTACGTCCGCGTGCAAAGCATCGCGCGTGAAATCAATGTCCGACGGACATTGTAAGTCCGCGTTTTACTGTAACCCGGTTGCAAACAATGCATCGGAGTTCCGCTCGTCCTCGTTTCTCTCATGGTTATTTAAAGCTGCGACGAAGGGCGCTGCCGTCGTCGGGCGCACTCCGCCTCGTTCTGCGGTGCTTGCTGGAGTCAGTCAGCCAGCCGGCGAGGCAGTGACGCGATGAACGGCACTCGGCTGCTGCTGGCCCTCTGCGCGGCGTGGCCGGGCCTGGCTGCACGAGACCCCCGCTGTAAGTGGAGAGCAGGGCGCTGAGCCCGCGAGGACAATAGGTGCTCTTTAGCGAAAAAGTCGGTCGTTCGTATTGTCCAGTCGGGGGGGGGGGGGGGGGGGCGCAAGGATCCTATATCTCTGCAAGGAATTGGCGTTTCTGTGCGTGAGGCATGCGTTTGAGTAGCGTCAACCCTCCAAATGTGCTCTGATTTGTACTGAATGCTTGTGTATGTTCTGTAACGTCACGCCAAGCGACAACACCCAAGCCGCTCATTTCCACTGATCATGAGGCACAGCACATACTCCACAGGGGGCTACAGCTCCCCCGGTCCCGCCATGTGTGCTGGACCAGCCTACCACCGCGTGAGCGCCGAGCCACGCTGCTGCGCCGCTGACCGCCGCGTGCCGGCCGTTGCAGTCTTCACCCTGTTCGCGGTGCAGCGGTTCGAGAACACAGCGTGCTCGACGGGCTCGGCGGACGGCATCTGCACGCTGGCCTCCAGCTGCGGCGGCGACCAGCGCGGCTCGTGCGGCGGCGGCTTCGGCACCTGCTGTGTCGGTAGGTGCCGACTCGGTGCCCACCGCTCGTGTGCACCGGTCAACATGGCCTGATATTTTCACCGGAAGTAGTGTTGAGCGTACCATTTGGTCCACAAAATCCTTCGGTTGTCATAGAGTTACCACCTACACAAGCTATTGCATTTTTGCAATGCAGTTTTCTCTATGGCTGTTCAAATGCCAAAAATGCCGTTTTCTCCAAAACCTAGGAAACCACCTTGAACTAAAAATATTGAACCTGTGTACCATTGGCCTACTTTCGTGACGAGTAGCTCGCCGGTCTCTGTTTTGCCGCTCCAGCTCAATTAATGGCCATACATCAGCAAAGGGTGTAATCACCTTAAGCTTGCATTATATAATATATTTTTCCCGCGTTTCCTGTGGGCCGAACGCCAAGTTAGGTTACGTAACTGGAGTCATTGCGTGTATGCACCGCTATCATGCATTTAGGGATTCTATGGAATGACAAAAGGAAGCGTGACACTGTCATATTTGGGCGTCCCATATAATTATTGACAGCTTTGAAGGCGAACTGACCCCCTGTGTAGCGGCCAGGTCAAACACTGCTATCTGGTCTGCAGCTGGCTCGCCAGTCTATGCATGAGATCCGTACACCTTATTCCCACACAAGCTATATTCCTGGTTGTTCTTTGCATCCGTGCACTTTATAATATGGGTGCTGGCTAGAGCTGGGATTTTGATTCCGTGGACGCGCCGGTAATGGTTTTATCATATTTACATACTCATGTTTGCGTTACTCCTGTGTTTCAGTCGAGAAGTCGTGCCGCAATGTGACCAGCCAGAAGATCGCCTACTTTACC